GGCCTCCACCACCCTGGCCAAACCTGGGACTCTAGGCTCCTGAGCAGACATCTCTTTGCCCTTGTTTACATATCTGCTGGGGCAGAGGAGGCTCCCGCCCCCGTCCCGACACCTGGCTGCACTGCCATGGGTAACAGGGAGCCGCCCCGGCCTGTGGTTCGCCGGGCCGGGGATGCCAGGGCCCTTGTCTGTGTGACTGCACCTGCGGCAGGTTCACACCAGGACACCTGGCACCTGTGTCTCTGCCTGGCCGTCGCCCCAGGAAACCTGGTGTGGCACCCAGCAGCCCACACATGGCACCCAGGGCCGCCCTGCCCTCCCCCCTCCTGGCGTGCCTCCGTGTTCACATCAGCTCTGCACCCCGACTGCCAAGACAAACCAAAAAGCTGCTCTGAGTTCCTCCCGGGGCTCCAGGGAGTTTGCAAACGCAGGCTGCCTGTCCTGCCCCCAACACTGCCAGATTCAGAGGGAACGCTGCCTGGAGGCCTTCCGTCTGCCCACACCTCCCTGGGCAGGGCTTTTAAAGGTGCCAGAGCCGCCCCATAGCCCACTCTGGGCAGGGGCCTCCCTCACCTTCCCACCATGCACGTCGGAAGGTGCCCACCCTGGGGGAAGGGCGGGGTGGGGGGCGCATCACCTGGGCAGCAGCCGCCGGCTCCCCAGTGCCTCTGTGTGGTCCTGCCCAGTGCAACCCTGACACCACCCTGAGCACAGGTGCCCTCTTGGGACCACCGCCCCCCCCCCATTGGTTTCCGTGAGAACAACCAAAAGCATTTCAACGTGTTACCTTTCTTTACACAGATAGACTCCAAAAACCAACACAAATCTTTATTTTTTTTATTTCAAAGATATAATGAAAAATTATGGGGAGAGTACTCATTATGGCAGGTGTCTATGTGTAAGAAAAAAAATATATATATCTATATGTCATATAGCTTGTTAGGTTTATTTTTTAAAGGAAAGGTAAGGAAGCAATTGATTTGAAATATCTACCATGAGAAGTCCCATGTCCTGTCAAACTTGTCAGTATTTTATAAATAAACTTTTTTTTTGGAGTTTTGAACGTTCCTTTTTCTCCCCCCTGGAAGGTAAATGGAGACACCTACCCCCCATATGATACTCAAGCAATCTGCTCCCCAAACACCCACCTCTGGGCTTTTATGGAAAGAATCAAGAGTCCAACTTACTTTCTTAATTCATACGGCAGTGGGCATCCGTGACTTTAAGTGAAATGTACTATTTTATTTATTTTACACTTTTAGCATAAGGGCCTCTCAGATTATGCCAAATTAGAGGCAAAAAGAAATAGTCATGATGACTAAGAACTGTAAAGGCAGTCGCTAGCCCGTGTGTGGCATTCGCCCCGTGCCAGGCGCTGTTCTAATGACTGCCCATTGAGTCACCCAGAATCCTCGTGGCACCCCCCTCGGAGGGCGGCTGGGGCGGGGAGACCTTAAGTGGCTTGCCCCGGAGAACTGGGAAAAGCCAGGGTTTGTCCTACAGCAGCCTGGCTCTCAGACATCCCTGCTGCCTCTCTGATGTGCGAAGGCGACTTCCTCGCCCATTTTCATTGTAATTTCTACAAAGCCAGCTCCCCAGGCCCTCGGGATCTTGAGGCAGTGAGAACTGTTTGGTGGATCTAATCCACCCAGGTTTAGAGTTAAGGCTTGACTCACTGGCTTCATGAGTACGTGGTGCTACATTATACCACTTACCTCACATACCTTAAGTCAGACGGATCCCAATAAAAGAGTGAAGGAAACGTGATTTTAACATGTTAAGCACCCAGTCAGTCACCGGTGACTGACACTATACTTTCTGTCCAGAAGACAAAACAGGCTGGGCGCTTAACGTGTTAACAGTACATGTAGTGCCACTTATTTTACACTAGAGGCCCAGTGCACAAAATTCATGCACTCGGGGGTGGGGGTGGGGAGGGTGTCCCTCAGCCCGGCCTGCGCCCTCTCGCAGTCTGGGAGCCCTTGGGGGATGTCCAAC